TCAGCTCTTTCTTAATGTGAAAATGCTCTGTAGATAAGGCTAGCTTCACACATACTATGGAGCATGTTGAGCTGCTACAGTAAAAGTAGAACAAGCCGTGCTGTGGGTGGGGATGGTGAAAGTGACTGGCATAATCAGTGTAGAATTGTGATGTCTCTTTGCATTTTTTGTACATATTTTATTTTACTTATAACTTATTTAGATGAGGCTGAAAAACATCAATTTTTAGGCCACAGGCCAACATCTCAGACTTGCCTGTCTCCAGGGAGGTGCCTGATGCCTGGGACTGCAGCTGCCCTGCTCCTGGCTACAGTGGTGAGATGGGCCTTGGTTGCCCTGGGAGCCCTCGGGGTCTCCAGGGAGCCCCTGGGCCTTGCAGTACCTTGAGGTTTGTCTGTCCCAGATGACTGTGTCACTGAATTCAGGGTCAGCTGTGGGCACATGGCAGGATCAGTGAGCTGAGCAGTAACCTTTGACTCATTTTCTGGCCACCCTGAAGCAAGTAGAGTCTCTATTCCCTTCACATGCAACATGAAGAAAGTCTTCAATTATGTGGCACTGTGCATCACCAGTGGAGATGTTTGTGGTCTACGCACTGTGACCAACAAACTCCCTGCAGTCATGGGAACTCATGGTAAGTCACAGCTGGATTAATCCCACTACCTGGTAAATGTTAGAACTCTGCACAGGCAGAAATGGGAAAAATTCAGTCATTTCTGGCTAGGATTTTGGTCCTCCCCATACTTACTACTTAGATCATTAAACTAATTATATGTACAAAACTACTAAGCTCTTGAAAATTGGAGGAAAACAAGCAAAAATTTCACACCTAAAAAGACATTGAAATGGTAATAGTCTCAGATATTTTCTATACACTATTTCTCTCTGTCTGCTTACAGGGTGCACTATTTTGACCTATTCAGAAGTCTAGTCCAGAGCATACCCTGGGAAACAACCCTTGAAAACAAGGGAGTCCAGGAGGGATGGATGTGCTTTAAGCAGGAAGTTTTGAGTGCACAGGAACAGGCCGTACCGGTGTGCCGAAAGGCAAGCCGGCGGGGAAGACAACCAGCTTGGTTAAACAGGGAGATTCTGAAGGAAATCAGGGATAAAAAGAGAGTTTACCGACTATGGAAGAAAGGGCTGGCTTCTTACGAAGAATTCAGGAAGACAGCTAGATCATGCAGAAAGAAAATCAGGGATACAAAAGCACAATTTGAAGTTAAATTAGCCACTTCTGTTAGGGATAATAAAAAGTCCTTCTATAAATACATTAATAACAAAAGGAGAGGCAAAGAAAACCTCCATTCTTTGAGGGACTTGGAGGGAAACATAGTTAATAAAGATGAGGAGAAGGCTGAGGTACTTAACACCTACTTTGCCTCAGTTTTTACCAGTAGGACAGGTGGCCCTCAAGGCAACTGGCCTCTGGAGCTGGTAGACAGAGATAGGAAACCAAATAGTCCCCTTGTATTCCAGGAGGAAATAGTTAGTGACTTACTGAGTCATCTGGATCCTCACAAGTCTATGGGACCAGACGGGATCCATCCTAGGGTGATGAGGGAGCTGGCAGAAGAGCTTGCCAAGCCGCTCTCCACCATCTTCCAACAATCCTGGCTCACTGGGGAGGTCCCATACGACTGGAAGTTGGCAAATATCACCCCAATCCATAAAAAAGGCTGCAAGGCTGACCCGGGTAACTACAGGCCTGTCAGCCTGACCTCGGTGCCTGGCAGAGTTATGGAGCAGATTATCCTGTGTGAAATCACACAGCAGCTACAGGATGGACAAGGGATCAGACCCAGCCAACATGGGTTTAGGAGGGGCAGATCCTGTTTGACCAACCTGATCTCCTTTTACGATCAGGTGACCCACCTGGTGGATGAGGGAAAGGCTGTGGATGTGGTCTATCTGGACTTCAGCAAAGCCTTTGACACTGTCTCCCATAGCATACTCCTGGAAAAGCTGGGAGCCCACGGCTTGGACAGGGGCACTCTCTGCTGGGTCAGGAACTGGCTCGAGGGCCGGGCCCAGAGAGTGCTGGTGAACGGAGCTGCATCCAGTTGGAAGCCGGTCACCAGTGGTGTCCCCCAGGGGTCAGTGCTGGGCCCAGTCCTTTTTAACATCTTTATCGATGATTTAGATGAGGGGATTGAGTCCATCATCAGCAAATTTGCAGATGACACCAAGTTGGGAGGGAGTGTCGACCTGCCGGAAGGCAGGAGGGCTCTGCAGAGGGATCTGGATAGACTGGAGAGATGGGCAAACTCCAATGAAATGAAGTTCAACAAGGCCAAGTGCCGGGTCCTGCACTTTGGCCACAACAACCCCCTGCAGCGCTACAGGCTGGGGACAGAGTGGCTGGAGAGCAGCCAGGCAGAAAGGGACTTGGGGGTGCTGATCGACAGGAGGCTGAACATGAGCCAGCAGTGTGCTCAGGTAGCCAAGAAGGCCAATGGCATCCTGGCCTGCATCAGGAACAGTGTGGCCAGCAGGAGCAGGGAAGTGATCCTTCCCCTGTACTCTGCATTGGTGAGGCCACACCTTGAGTATTGTGTTCAGCTCTGGGCCCCTCAGTTCAGGAAGGACATTGAGGTGCTGGAGCGGGTCCAGAAAAGAGCAACGAGGCTGGTGAAGGGACTTGAGCACAAGTCCTATGAGGAGAGGCTGAGGGAGCTGGGGTTGTTTAGTCTGGAGAAGAGAAGGCTTAGAGGCGACCTCATCACTCTCTTCAACTACCTGAAGGGAGGTTATAGCCAGGCGGGGGTTGGTCTCTTCTCCCGGGCAACCAACAATAGGACAAGGGGACATGGGCTCAAGCTCTGCCAGGGGAGGTTTAGGTTAGATGTTAGGAAGAAATTCTTTACAGAGAGGGTTATCAGACATTGGAACGGCCTACCCAGAGAGGTGGTGGATTCACCATCCCTGGAGGTTTTTAAAAAGAGATTGGACGTGGCCCTTAGTGCCATGATATAGTAATTGGAGTTGGATCAGGGGTTGGACTTGATGATCTTGGAGGTCTCTTCCAACCCTACCTATTCTATGATTCTATGATTCTATAAGGACTATCATGATTTAAGAAATCCTGATGTCTCTACAACTATTCTCCATTTTACATTAAAGGATTGCTCTCAGATCAGTGGAGTTTTTAATTTGATATGATATTCCTCAAGTGTCTACTGTGGGGATGCACAGGATAAGCCAATATAACCTAGTGAGAGGGATATCTGCAATAAAAGGATATTGTTATACTGCAGTCTACAGTACATGTTGACAGTTGTACCCAGGGGAGCGTGGTAGGAGTTTTGCAGTGAGGCTGCAAAATGCCCTGCAATTCTGCATTTTATTAGCAACTGTGAAAGCACACAGTGGAAGTATGACTGGTTCTGCAGCTGAGGCTAGGAAAGGGTGAGTCTTGGCTAAACAAGGTGACCACTAGTATCATTCACTGCTTAAACAACTGCTGGTCTGGTTCTCAAAACAGAGTTGAAAAAAGGAACGCCACAGAAAGTAGCTCCAGTTACATTACAGTTTTACAATAACAGACACTGACAAACCTCTGACAAAATCAAGCTAGAAATGCATTTTTATAAAACTGAGAGGAGCTCATATTCAGCAGCTTGTGGCTGAGTTTACTATAGGTTTCAGTTGTTTCCAGCACAGCATTTGTGATTCTACTTTCCTTCAGTAGGAGAAATCTAGTCTTGTCTCTTTTAACTTGTCCTGCCTCAATACTAATTTCTAGGTGACTGTGAGATGTCCCCTTTCACACTACCTTGCAAATACTGGCTTCTTGTACCAGACCAGCTCTCCCATACTCTATGTTTTTATCTTTACCAGAAATTTCTGAGTGGATTAAAGGAATACCGCCCTGGGAATCCTGCCCTTGACCAGGGCTGGGATCCTATCTACTCTTGCACTTTGAAGCTTGGTGTCTGCTGAGTTGACTTCTTTGTCAGACATTTGCAACTATTTCTGTGTTTACTGAGTTCTCCCAGTTAAACATTTTCTTAAGGAGTATGTGCTGAGGAGTTTTTGACTTGTTGCTCATTGCCTGTCACATAGTCATATTCAGGCATAGAGAGCAGCCCCTAAGGTTGACTAGGCCAAACACTGACAAGACATATGGCACTGACATGTGATGATGCATGGTGCTGATATGGAGCGCACACTGCCGACGTATTGCTGTCGGCTCTCTATCCAATAGAAGGGGCTGACAACTCATGTTCACACATCTTGCAGGGATGCGGATGCCAGTTAGCTTTAGTCCTTACGTTCGTTCTGACACTTCGCCCTTGTACTGAGCTTTTGTACTTGTTTGGCTGTACATCTAATGCACTGTGTTCAATGTGGGAATCCTTTTCTTTTTTAAACAAACTTCTAGTTCTCAGTACAGAGGGTGGCATTATGTTGCAGGATTCAAATTGTGTGAACAATTCCTACTGCATTTCTGTAGGCCTTGCTTGACATGACTTTAGAAGTTGTAAGCTGTAATGTTTATACTTATAGACTGTGTGAAAATATGTAATGTTTATACTTGTTAGCTGTGTGTCTAATTATAAGGTTTGAGGACATAGTATGTTTATAGCAAGAAAGCCTTGAGAAAGTACAGATAAAGGTACACCTGCAGATTTCAGAAAGCCCCTAATTATGAAGGCCTCTACATGCCAAGTATGACTCCAAGCCGCGTGGATAGAACATCAGGTCCAATGAACTGGAGACATGAGACGTGTGTACAGACTGAGCTATCCAATCACCTTGTTGTAAGCATGTGCCCAAAACAAACTAAACTGTATAAAAGTTGACTTATTTAAATAATAAATTGGACATTTTGCCTGATCATATCGGTCGTTTGCATGTGTTCCTGAGCTCTCCGCCCACAATTGCATTATGTCTTGTCAACAACTGTTGTTTCCTGAAAGTGTGGTGATATATTTGGATCATGGATTTCTTCCACAACTCCTAGTCAAAATCTTTGTTTTATCTTCTGACTACAGAACCACCGGCCCGTCTGGCAAGCTGTAAAAGTAACCTTCCTTTTGGGCCACTCAATCTGGCATCAGGAAGAAACATTTAGAGAACAGAATTAAAACAAATAAAGCCATCAGATTTTCAAGATAATTTTCTTGGATACTTACCAAAGAGAAATAAACTTGAAAGACTTTTTCAAAGTCTGAATAGGTCAGTTCACCATAGGCAGACAAATTACAGCAAATAATTTTAATATGTCCGTTATATCTTTCAATTATGATTTGCTAGTTTCCAAAATTTATCTTCATTTCATTGAAGATCTGGCAGGTGGTTCAGAAACCTCCATTCCAGTATGTTTATAACCCCACAATCATCTGATGAAGTTCCTTTTTTTATTTTACTAATAATATGTAATAATCAATATCTAGCAGAGTACAAATAGGTTAAATTTAGCTCTAATTCAATTCAACTTGGCACAGGTTGCTTCAAAGCCTTTGAAATCAGCTGTGAAATGTGCATTGAAAGTAAGCCACTAATTTCACAAAAAGTGATTGAGTCTAAAATCTGTAGCAAGACTCACATCCTTGTCACGACAAAAAGGAAACTCCATTAGAAAAATGAGCAAAAAAGCCCTTATTTTAATGAAAATTAGAACAGAAACTTGCAGATCTTATCTAATTACAAAAGCACACACTAGATTCAAAAGAGGAGTTTAACAGGGTTCTTTCTTACATGCATTAGTTTGTAAAAAGCAATAAACTTTGTCCTATTAAGGCACTCTCAAAAAAACCTTGATTTCAATAAAATATCAAACCTCTTTGTAACCACATAGAAAATTAAGATAAGCAATAATTAAAACAGTGACAAGATCACTAAATGAAAAAAAATGTTACTTTAATCACTCTTAATCATTGCTGTCATAAAAAAATACTACTAATGAGTATTTAATAAGCATTGGTCCTGGTCAATGGCAAGTTGAATAAGAGTCAGCAGTGTGCCCTGGCAGCAAGGAGGGCCGACACAGAGAACACAGTGCAGAGCCAGGCCATGACCATAACCTGTCAAGGAACAGGACTATGCCATGCAGACTCAGAAGCACAGACCTGACAGATTCCCAGCTCCATTTGTATGATCATAGGTTTGAGGGAAGAAACTCAGAGCAAAAGTTGTGTGAAGCTACATTGCTTTGGCAGCCAGTTTGACTTCCATCTCCCAGACTGGACATGCCACATATTTCTATGGAGTGTTATGGGCAAATATATTTTTAATATGAAACGAGAAGATGCAAAAAGGAGCTCTGGCATCAAAGACACATCCTCATGGAGGTACAGTCAATGCTCAACTTTATTGCACAATTACAGAAATGATATAGGGTCCTACAGGGTTCACATGCTCTACTCTAACTATCTGTTGGTTACATCCGTTTATTCACGCACTATAGCTATAACTCTATTGGCTCACCTATCCAAGGCACACGCTCTGACATTTCCAGGCCCTCCCATCTTGTGGTTTCTAACACCCTGGATAACATCCTCTTTTCTTGTTTATCTCTATGCAGCTTCCTCATATCTGCTGCTCAAGGACACACATCTGCTGCTCAAGGACACACGGTCCTCACCGTCTGGCACGTAGGCTGGATTGTGCAAGCAGGCCTGAAGCAATATGTTATGTCCTGTATCGTCTAAGATACTCTGAACAATTCCTCCTTTTTCTTTTTGCACAATCCAGGCCTGATTGATGGTCTTTCGCACCATATCCGTAAGACACTTCAAGATACATGGTACAATTATCAAAATAATGCAGATCACCAGCAAAATAACCATTCCAGATTTTACCAAGTCTTGTAGCCATCCTGATAATTCTAGATTGTTTAACCATTCTTCAAATGGTGACACATTGACAGTAAGCTTTTTCATGTTGTCTTTCAACTTTCGGAGATCAGTGTGTATCGAGGTTGAATGATCTGATAAATTCATACAACACATGCCTTCAAAATCTTCATATCCGTGCCCTTGTGCTAAAAGCAAAAAATCTATTGCAGCTCTATTTTGCAAAACAGCGTTCATAATGCTATCAACATCATTTGTTAGTTCAGTTAAAATTTTTGATGTTATGTTTAATTGCTTAGCAGCCCAACATCCTAACTTTTTAATTTCTTTCAACACTTTCGCAGTGCCAATTGGCGCTAAAAAGGAAGCAATTATGTTGTTTGGAATGTCCCACAATTGAACATTATCATTACAATTTGGCCCTAGGTGATGCACATTTCTCTTGGTTCAACTCGTCTTTGTACGATTCCAAAGTGTGTTATTCAGCATTTCAAGCATGGTGTGTTTAAACATGGTAAGTTTGCCTATATAGCATGGTCCACCTACTGGATAACTAGGAATTCCAGGTCAGGCTCTATCTCCACAGATAAAAAATGTGTGGTTTGGTAATCTCATGCCTACAGAGTTGTTTCCCCAAACATCACTGTATCTACACTGCGGGGGGCAATAGTCCATTTCTTGAAATCCCTTATATATTGGGTTCTGTGGAGAAACAGTTTGTACTGCTGATAATCTTACCTGTAAATTGATTAATTGCTGAGTAACAGTGCCTGTGCCTTTAAACATAACTGCTCCAAATGCAAGTGGCACAGATCCTAATAGTTCTAGTTCTTGGGGCTCAAACATGGTTTGATTCAAAGCCATAATAAGTTGTCCCTGCCACCAAACAGTATAATTAACGCTGATATTCATGCTTTGAGCAGTCGCATTAGCTTTGGTGTCATTCATCTGGGCAAGGGTTGCGTTTTCTATAAAAGAGCTAAAATCCTTGGGGTCAAAATGTGGCATTCCTATTAAACAGGTTCGAAATGGATCTCCAGGCATGGCCATGGACAGACAAAAGGACTCTTGCCCAGTTTCATTAGCAATGGTGACCCATATGTTTGAATGTGGTGCAATCCGGGTCACCGCATCAGTTTTGATGATGTGCAGTCCCCATAAGAGGGACACTACCCACAGTGGCCACATTGTACACTCAGTACGGTTGATTTCTTTGCCTGTTCCACTTGTTGCAATGCTCTTTTAAGGGCAAATATTCTCTGGGACAACCAAAAGGTATCAAGATCCCCAAAGTTACAAATTCTCACATTGGGGTCTTGATAAACTATTCTCGCTGCATTATAAAAGGCGTCATAATTTCTTTCATAGCAATGATTACATAAACTTCCGCTTCTAGCTAAGCTAAAGCTTGTTCTAACAAATTGATTATTACAAGCTCCACACCTAAGCACTAAAATCAACTTTTCTCTACAACTAATACACACGCGATTTCTATAAGCATAAATGTCCTTATTTAGTTCCCATACTCCCCCAGGTCCTTGTCGCCACAAGATATTTTCTATGATGAGGTCAGGTGAAACTCTGGTCAGTCCTGGGATACCTGTTGCTTCTGCGACGGTTTTTGCAAGTTCTTCGATTACTCATCGTTGTCTTTGGTGGGAGCAGTTTCTTTCACAGTCACGGCAGGGCGTGTCCATTTACTTGGTACCCATAATGGTCCTTTATCTGTAGAGACACAACTGTAACCCCAACCTGTAAATAACAGAGGGCTAGGGTCTTCCCATTCCCCTGTCTGTGGGTTTTTATATCGAATTTGAATTTCTGGGGTTGCTTGCATCTTAACTTTGCTGTTGTGTGTTACTATAGGAGGTTGTTCTGCATCTCCAGCTAAACTTAAAAAATTCAGAGTAAAGAGTACCTTACTTAAACTAATATGGGGGTCTGTAACTTCTGGATCTTTCTGTTTCTCAAGATATTCCTTAAGGGTTCTGTTTGCTCTCTCCACAATTGCCTGTCCAGTAGAAACATGTGGTATCCCAGTGATATGTTTTACACCCCACTTCTGCAAATATCTCCTTACTTTTCTCCCTACATCTGGATCTCTCTCCCCTCCCATGATGTGGGGCAGCACCAGTCCTAGTTCCATTTCCATCTGAGGAACCATTTCCGACGGCTTGAGGTGGATAGGAAAGGGGTTACTCCAGCTCCAGGGGTTTCATCAGGGTCCTGGACGCATGGAGGGGTTAGGTGCTCACCTCTCCCCCCATCCACGTGGTCCCATGGCAGCCACAGACAGACAGCACACAGCACGTGGAGAGGAGGCGAGAGAGGGTTTATTGATGAGGCAGTTACATATATAGGTCTTGGAGGTTTCACAGAGTGACCAATTACGGGGTCGGGGGCTTACAGGACACCCAATCGCAGGAAGGGGTTAAAGGTCCAATGAGAAGACTTCTTGATATCTTCTCAGCACATTCCTGGGACAGAGATAAGAACTGGCCATGGGGGATTTTGGGAAGAAGAAAGCACAGGGACCACAAAAAGCCATTTTGAAACACATTCAAACCACAGCTTCCCATACAAGGCAGATTCACTGCCACACCTACATATGCTGGCCCATTATCTGTCTTTAAAGTTTTTGGAATTCCCATAACTGCAAAGCATGCTGTTAAATGGCTAATCATGTGTAATGCTTTCTCCCCAGCTTGTGCTGTGGCCCATATGAATTTTGAAAAGGTGTCAATTGTTACATGTAGATATTTCAACCCGCCAAATTCTGGTACATGTGTTACATCCATTTGCCAGATTTCACACGCTTGTATTCCTCTTGGATTTACCCCTAAACCTAATCCCACCCCATGTTGACTACACTGAGAGCATGCCTTCACAATACCCTGGGCATCAGTCCAGTCGATATCAAACTGTCTTTTCAAGACCCTAGCTGATTGATGAAATAGCACATGACTCTCCCTAGCCATGGCAAAAGAATCGACTGGCCCTGACATGGAGAGACTGACAAGTGAGTCTGCCATAGCATTTCCTTCTGCTAATCCAAACTCATTCTGATGGCTTCTGATATGGATGATACAGCAAATTTCTGTTCTTAATTGAATTGATCTCTGGATTTGTCTGAACAACTCTTCCAGGTGCAGATTCTTCGGTGGTCTTATCAGAGCATCTTCTATTCTCTGCACCACTCCCACGGCATACTGC